CCAGGCATCGTTCTAGTGACAGTCGCTGATATAGTTCTTCCAGCCAATTACCGATCGTTTTGTTAAAGTAAATAAACTTTGAGTTCATGTATGTAAACATGTCGAGAGCGACTGCTGGGAGACGTTGTCTCACAGGTTCTCATAGACGGTGCATCAGTGATTGTGACATTTACATTTTGGTGTGAGCAGTCGTACGCAGTTGAAGCTTGTGTACCTACAAACGCGAGCAACAGAAGTAAAAGGGGGCATTTCCAGCTAGACTTCAATGTGGTTGATGCTGTAATCTCGTTTCGCTCCTTCTTTACGGTTGTCCTCGTCGTCATGGCCAAGTGCCCTTCTTCTTCTAGAGCCTCTTCTTCAAAGTTTTTGTCAGCTTTCACAATATTCTCCTTTTTCAATCCTTTGAAAATGCTAGTGTTATTGTCCTCCATTGCCAGGTGGGTTTCAAGAGGATAGAGTTGGGTTATTACCCGTCTCACAAATTTTAGAAATTCTCCTACCTGGTTCATTAGTAGCTTCACTTTGGCGTCGGTGATTCCTCCTCTGTTGTTCGTTATCAGTTCGGTAATACGTCCCAACTTCCACTTTGTTTGAGGTGTTGCTTCTTCCTTGATAAGAACCACTTCTCCAGTTCTGGGTTTTCTTGTGGTCAAATTTTTCCCCTGGTGCTGTTTTTCGTCTCCTTTTCCTCTCAACATCTGAAGCTATCTTCTTGTCCATTCGCGCTGAAATCTGTTTATGCTTTCTTCTATCTTTCTGTAGAAAGCTTGTAGCTTCTTTCTTCCACCAAAAAATTTTTGGAACCTGTGATCTGACTTTGCGAGTAAGTTGTTCTCTCTTGAAGGCATAATTACCTTTGACTTAATAAAATCAAATGGTCAAAGAATATCTATGATATCAACATCTACTGATGTAATAGGTCTTGTATTTCAAATGTCCTTTATTCTAATCACAGTATTTGCAAATTTGTCTACCTTTAATAGACGTTTTCAATAGATTTCTTTATGGCTGCTTTTATCAATTCGATCATTCTCTTGTACAAGCCGCCCTTCTATGAGGCTCTCGGGGTGACAACATGCTAGGTTACTGGTATTCGTTTAGAAGCCGCAACGAATTGCGCTTCGT